CTGTATTTAATATATTTTTTTTGTTTTGCAGAATCTTACATGGAGATACTTAGAAAAAAGGGCAATTTACAGAAAAGAAGTTGCTAACATAAAGAAAAAGGAGGCAATTTTGAAAACTTTGAAAAATAACCCAGTAGAGTATAATAAGTGTAAAGAGGAATTGGTAAAAATGGAGATGGATTGTCAATTGAATATGCATAAAGGTGAGGACATTTATGACAACATTTGCAAGTGGGTTAAGCGTTTTCCTTCATTCAACATAGCCGAAGCCGATTTGGTAAATTTTTAACTTTATTTCTTTGTATATTGTATATTCAGGAATAAGCTAAACCTAGTATGATACAAGCTTTTATTAGTCAGATTTTATATTATTTTAAATCAGGAATTATATTACTTTAATCAGGAAATAATTTATTTATGTTAGTAATTAATCCGTGTTAGTCAGGATTAAAATTGTATAGTAAGGAATTAAATTGTTTTAGTCAGGAATAATATTGTTTTAGCCAGGAATAAAATTGTTTTAGTCAGGAAAAAAATTGTGTTAGTCAGTAATAAAATTCTGTAAGTCAGGAATATAAATGTTTTACTCAGATTTTATGATCTTTTAATCTGATATTTGCTTCTTTTAGTCAGTTAATAAATGTGTTACTTATTGTGAAAATTATGTTTTATTTATTTTGCAGCTATTCTTTCCCATTGCGTTCGATAATCATCATACTCTGCTGGTTTTCAATTTCATTGATGGTATTGGTCCAAGAATAGATTGGATAAATAACAGGACTGATATCGATCGAGATAAATTAAATGGAATAGACAGAGTGCTGGTAAGATAATTTTAAATTAAATTTGTGAAAATTATACTTTTAGATGCTTTTAAATTTTATAATTTATATATTTATAATTACAGATTAGAGCTGTTGGTATTTTTTTGAAAAAGCATGAACATCGACATGGTGACACAAATTTGGAACAATTGGAATGGCATGAACCTAAGTTTACATGGCAAACAAGCCATGAAAATGAGGATTGTGGCCTTTTTACATTAATGTGTATGAAAAATTACAATGGTATAGCTGGAGGTCTTGTCGACTTGAAATATGTAAGTATTTTTTCTCCTTTGTTTTTGGATTTTTACCTATTGTTTTTTAGTGATCTTATTTTGTTTTTTATATAAATTTGTAGAAGCAAAATCGGAAGATATATAGATGCCAACTTGCTTATCAGATGGCTACTAGAGAAGAGAATTTTTTGCGGAAGAAATTGTGGAATGATTGCATTGAGTTTTCAATTAACAAGCACAAAATTTGGAAAGCTCAACCTGCAAGAAAGAAGCTAGAGGCCCAATATGAGAAAGCAAAGGAAGCCATTCAAAAGGAAAAAGAGAGGCAGTGGAAGTTGATGCAAAAACAACTAGAAAAAGAGCAGCATTAATTGGAAATTGATCAACAGCTTCAGCAAAATGAAGAGGAAGATTAGATTTTTTTTTAAACAATTAATCATACATGTACATATATTTTTTTTTGTAGTTAGGCATTAGTTTTCTTTTGTATAGATACTTATAAATTTGGTTTGTATATGTATATATTTTCTATTAAATCTGTTTTCTATTAATCATACATCTATATATTAGTCAGATATTAAAATACTTGTGTCAGAAATTAATATCAAATGTTAATTTTAAAAATTTTAAATATCAAACTTAAAATGAAGAATATGTTTGTCATAAATTAAATTACTCTTCTCAGGAATTATTTTATTTATATTAGCAATTAAATTCCTTTGGTGAAGAATAAAATTTTGTTAGTCAGGAATAAACTTGAGTTAGTCAGGAATAAACTTCATTTAGACAAGAATAAACTTGAGTTAGTCAGGAATAAACTTGAGTTAATCAGGAATAAGATTTTTTAAATCAGGAATAGAGTTGAGTCAGTCAGGAATAAACTTGAGTTAGTCAGGAATAAGATTTTTAAAGTCAGGAATGATATTGTGTTAGTCAGTAATACAATTAGTTTACTTAAGAATAAGATTCTAGAAGTCAAGAATTAACTCGGGAATTAAAACTCGGTTATCAGAAGTTAAAATGTAATAGTCAGTAATAAAATTGAGTTATCAGAAATTAAATCAGGCATGAAATTGTGTAAATCAGGATTAAAATTAGTTTAGTCAGGAATAAAATTTTGGATGTCAGGAATAAACTTCAGTTACTCAGCAATAAGACTTTTAAAGTCAGTAATAAAGTAAGGTTAGTCAGGAATAACATTGATCTAATCAGAAAATAAAATAATTTTTTTCAGAAGTAATCAAACCTCAAAATGCCAAAATATAGTATTGTTTACAATTATCTTGAATAATAAAATAAAAAAATTTGAAGATTGGCTTTATGATAGAAGAATGCAGCAATAGGGATGAATTAAATGAGTTGTGGATTAGGAGTTATTGTTCCAAACTCATTTGGATCTCTTGTTGCTGTTCTTCTTCTTTCAAAATGTCCTCTAATTCTTTTGTTCTTCTTTGGCCTTCCCTTTGTTTTTGGTTGTTTTGGATCTTTTACTGTATTTCTTCTTTCTTCTTCTTCATCAAGTTCACGAATTTTTTCTTCATTTGTTTGGAACACTTTCCTTACAGATTTGTACATTTGTTCCAAAGCATCATCACATATTTTTGATGCTTCTTCATTCCCTTGACATATTGTCACAAGGTTGTAAAAATTCTTTGTTATTGATTGTCTCCAAAGAGTGTTTATTAATTAATGATCTGTGGTTGAATTTCCTAATAAAAAAAAAAAGATTACTACATTTTTGTTAGTAATAAGGCAATTTTACTCAGAAAAGAATGCAGCTCATGAATAATGATAAAATTTTTTGCTTCAATAATATTATAATATCAGAAATAAAATTATTTATATCATGAAAAATGTAAGAAAAGTCAGCAACGAGCTATGCCATAATATTTTTTTTCTGTTTCAGCCATAAATTTTCTGACAAAATTGATTTAAAGGCTATTATCAATTTTTAAAGGATGTTATCAAAAGTAATTACAGATTAATTATTACTGTTCATACATAACTCTTTTCTATTTAAAGGCTGTTCTAAATTAATTTTTTTCTATTAAAAGAGTTATATTATAACAACCTCTATTGTGTTCTATAAAAGGTGCATTCTTGTAAAAATAACTTATATTTTTCTTCATCTAATCAATCATCAAAATAATGGCTGATTTCTACGCAAATAAGGAGAAGTGTACTATTATTGTTAAACCAATTGATCGGATTAGTATGGTAAATATATTACATTAAGTTTTAAATTTATAAATTTGTTTTGTGTTTTAGTAAAGATTAAATGATATCATTTTTTTTTCTTTCAGGGTCTTCCTGAAGATTGGAAGCTTTTTCTTCTGAAATTCAAGAACTTTGTTAGAGTCTTTGCTGGGAAGAATGGCAGAGAAGATAGATTTTGGGAAGTAAGAGTCATAAGCATACCAGCAAATACAGGTTGTGGTGGTATGTTGATTGATCGTGAATGAGAAAACTTTGTAGCTGCGAACAACATAGTTGTTGGAGACAGACTTGATGTTTACCATGATCATTATAACATTTATATTAGAATTTTTAATGCTGATGGTACTGAAAGGCTTCCTAATGAAGCAGGAAGTGGTACCAATGTATAAGTTTTTAAATATTTATATAATTTTATGTTTGTAATAAATCTGATTTTATATCAGAAATAATAAAATATATATCAGATATTATAATATTTTGTTCATGAATAAGATTATTGGTATAACATTATAATATGTTGTTCAGTGTTCATTATGTTCAGGAATTAGATTATTTTTTTCATTTATTAGATTTGTTTTGTCAGGAATTAAATTATGTGTGTCAGGTATTAAATTTTTTGATTACATAGGAATTAGATTGTTTCAGGAATAAAAATGTTTCAATCAGAAATTAGTTATTATAAATTAGAAAGGATCAGGAATAAGATAAAGTTTGTCAGCTTTAAGATTTCTTTGGTCAGGAATTAAAATATGTATGACAGGTATTTTAAATTTTATTCAGGAATTAATTTAAATATATCAGGAATTAAACTGTATGCTTCAGGAATAAACTTGTTTCAATCAGGAATAATATTATCTTTTTCATGTATTATATTTTTCACATCAGACATTAAGTTTTCATCTATGTCAGCAAATTATTTATGACAGTAATTAAAATGTTTATCTCAGGAATAAAGATTATTTTTTTATACTAAATAAACAAGTAATAAATTTTAAAATAACAAAGTATGTACGTACCTGATTCACTGCCATCCCAAATGTTTGATTTAGCAAGCTTGGTCCAACGTTTCAGAATGTATCTCTCTGGAATAGCATGTATGCTGTACATTTGCATTATCTTGATAATGTGAAAGCACAGCAATCCAGTCTCTGTGAAGCACATACAAGAACACATAAACTCATTGTTTTGAGTGTAATATATGACTTGATAGGTGTGCATATAATCTTCATCAAGATAAACATCAAAGAATTTGACATATTGCATTGAAGTGGCTTTTTCTCTTGCATATGCTCCAAGACTTGTTTCAAATTCCAGCCTAAAATCCTTGTATAAGTTTAGAGTATAAACTTCAGTCGCATGTTTTAATATCTTTGTTGTTGTTCTTGGTCTCTCAGTAGTACATCTGAAGTTGTCACTCTTTTCAGTGCTTCTCCATCTTTTCACAGTAGCCTCAAAAATGTGAAAGAACTCCAAAAGCTTTGTGGTTTTGTTGGCCTTAAATGAAATTGCTCTGTTTGTTACTTCTACCCTTTGAGATGAAAGAATTCCAGCTGAGAAAATATCCTTGCTCAATGTTGTGCACCATTTATCTCGTAGACCGTATAACCTATCAAACCATTCTTTTTTCTCTAGACCATGTTTTTGAACCATCTTGTGCCAACAATCTTCAAAGTCAGATTCAGAATCACATCCACTTAAGCATTTGTGAAACATATTTTTGAATTCAGGATGGGTTTTTAGAGTTCCAAAGTGTGACACAAAATTCTTTTGCAAATGCCATAGACATATGTCTTGAGTTTGGATAAACCTGCAACATAAATTAAATTACTGTAGTCAGCAATATGACTATTATAATCAGAAATTAAAAACATTTAGTCAGGAATTACATAAATTATGTAAGACATTTGTATATTTTTACTCAGGCATAACAATATCAGAGTTAGAAATTAACATATTTTAGTCAGATAATAGAAAATTTAAATCAGGTATAAATATCTTTAGGTCAGTAGTTAAATATTTTTAGACTTTTTATTTAAACTTATTTTTAAAATCAACATATATGTCAGATTATCAGTCAAATTAATCTTCCATTGTAATTCTGCCATTTGGGTCCCAATAAACGGCTAAAAAACAGTAACTTTTTTCCTTTTATAATCATTTCCTTTATAATTCAACTTTGCATCTTAACTTCAATTTCTTTATATATTACACATATTTGAGCTAAATTGTAACTGTACAAGCAACATAGGAAAACTTATTCTTGAGTTTTATAAATCACTCATTACGTTTCAGATGACCCTAGTTTTTTGGCTGACTGTATCATTGAGTACAGGATGAAGCAAAATGGGACTTGTCCACCCCCTGGTTATCCTCATTATGGTGCCCAACCACCACAGTGAACAGGTCTGTATGCCTAAAATGTGAATAACTTATGTTTGTTGAAATATTGTTGCATAAACTAACATCTATTATATGTTATTGTAGGTTACAAGGTGTCTTGGAATAAGTCATCACCCACAAACAAGAAGAAATGCATATCAGGAATATAATGATTTTAATCAGGAATTAGCATATTTTGGTCAGGAATTAGTATATTTTGGTCTGATTTTAGATGAATTATGAAAGGTATTAGTATATTTTGGTCAGGAATTAATAGTCTTAGTGTTCACTTGGAGTTTTGGATAAGGACTAAAAAAATGTAATAATCAGAATTGTACTTGAGGTACTGGATAAGGACCAAAACAATGTAATAATAAAAAAAAGGAATATATTTAAAAATTATCTTTTTTTTTTAAATATTTTTTATTTGTCTATAAAAGTATTATTTACTTAACATTTTGCATGTTTTTGTACTTTGGTATATTCTCTCCCCTAAAACAAACTTTTTTTCAATATTCCTCAAAAATGCAAAACAATTCTCAGTCTTCTACTTCATCAAACGATCCTCAATATTTCTCAAATATGCAAAACAATTCTCAGTCTTCTACCTCATCAAACGATCCAGAAGAAAATGCAATTGATAACTTTGAAAAAAAATTAAATGATCTGTTGGATAGAAGAGATAGAGTGAAGAATGGATTGATGAAGCTCTATGAAAAAGTTGAAAAGAATGAAATCGAAGAACTAAGCAAGAGAAAGGGAGCACAAGAGATATGGCAGGAAACACAGAACAAAAAGCAGAAAGAAGAAGATCAACACAAGAAAGAAGAGAAAGAACAAAAAGAAGATCAAAAGAAAAAACAAGTTTAATATCTGAGGAAGAACAACAAGAAGATTATGATTTTAGGGTTTTTTCTTTATCTTTTTTTTTTCTGTTAATTTCTAGTCACAATCAATATCATTAAAATATATGGAAAATATGATATGCTTTTATGTTTATGTTTCTGTATTTCCTGTTTTTATTATCAAAAGATTTATTCAGATATGGTTTAAAATGATATGGTTTTGTTGGTTTTTATTCATATATTGTTTTTTTTAGTATTAATAATTTTTCGTCAGGAATTATATTATTTTAGTCAGGAATTTTATTAATTTGTTATATATTCCATATTTATTTCAGAAATAAAATAAATTATCACAATAAAAAATAAGAATATTTTACTCAGTAATTATAACATTTTGCTCAGAAATAAACTTGAAATGAAATTATCACAATCAGAAATAAGAATATTTTACTCAGTAATTATAACATTTTGCTCAGAAATAAACTTGAAATGAAATTAAATAAATTTGAATTAGTAATGACTTAATTTCGATCAGGTATTAGAAAACTTATATCAGGATTAAGGATCTTGCTATCATGAATAAGATCCTGTCAATCAATATTAATTATTTGAACTTATTAATATATCTTAGTCAGGTATTGCCTTTATTTTATCAGAATTAATATATTTTTGATCAGGAATTATATTACATTAAATTATGAACATGAAACATATATTATTAGTCAAGAATTAAACAGATATTTATCAGGAATTATATAATTTCTGTCAGGTATTGATCTGTTTTTATCAGTTATTAAGTTATTCTAATCCAGAAACAATATATTATGAAGACAAAAATTCTTACCTCTGGTATGGCGTTACTCATTGCAAGATCCTGATCAGTGAAGATTGATTTTGGTTCGATTCCACACATCGACTTTTTGAAAATTTTAAGAAGCCAAACAAATGTGTCAGTCTTTTCGTCACTTATGAATGCACATCCAAACATTGTTGTTCTCCAGTGACAGTTTATACCAACAAATGGTGCACATATCAACCCATATTTGTTTGTTCTGTATGTTGTATCGAAGATTAAAACATCACCATAGGCTTTGAAATCTTCAAGCATTTGAGAATCACGCCAAAAATAGCTCACCACATTGTTTTCTTCTCCAAATTTCAGTCTATAAAAGAATGAAGGATCATTATCTGCTCTCTCTTGAAGGGTATCCAATACATTCTGCATGTCTCCACCTTCAACCATACTCATTTTCACCCTTGATACATAGTTAAGATGGTCTCTCTTAGTATGACCTACACATTATTCTCCTCCAGCTTCATTGGTGATATAATTGTAAGCATCCATTGGTTTGATACCACTTTCAACCACGCTTTCAATTAGTTCACCCATTGGTGCTGATATTTGCCTTTCTGATCTTAAATGATGACGTTGAACTGCTATAACCAATTCATGATTATGCTCCAACTCATGTGTAACAGCTTCGAAACTTCCTTCTTTGGTTTTCTTGAAACGAATATGAGCTTTGCATCCAGTTCTTGTCTCATTTACCTCCCTATCTTTTCTCTTTTTTTCATCAGTTTTACCCAACATGCGTATTTCCACTGAATTTTGTTCACCTGCCATCTTCATTTTACCCTTTGTATGCCCTTCTTTAGAACATCTAAAATAAAACTCATACAATTTATCATTATTATCTCTTCTCTTTGTTGATTTTCTGACACTGAAACCAACAGACCTTGAATGAGCTTTGTATAAAACAAATCCCTCATTGTAGTCTGATACAGTATAACCTGCTAGACATTTACTTATGTTTTCATCCTTGTCATATTTGTAATAATCTACAAGAAAAGTATATATGAAACATATCATAATTTATTTTTGTCAGGAAATAAAATATTATACACAGTAAATAAATATTCTTTAAATTTATGATACTTTAGAATTTTCATGTCTTAGTCAGGAATTACATTATTTAAATCAGGAATTACTAAATACTAGTCAGGAAATAAATAATCTCAGTCAGGTTTAGGTTTATGTTTAATCAGGAAATAGATAATATCAGTCAGAAATAATAATAATGTATCTGATTATAATATGTTGTTGATTATTTTTTCAGAAATTAGATTATTTATGTCACTTATTAGTTTTGTTTTGTCAGGAATTAAATTTTGTATGTCAGGTATTAAAAAATTTTGATTAGGAATTAATTTGAATATATCAGGAATTAGATTATATATTTCAAGAATAAAATTGTTTCAATCAGAAATTAAATTGAAACAATTTTATTAATTTAATTTCAGTAACAAAAAATAGTCAAAATATCAAAAAATTGTTCGAATCAGAAATTAGATTATTATAGTCAGGAATAAAGTTATATTAGTCAAGAAAATACATAATAAATTACTCAGGAAATAAATGATAAATATACAAAAATTAGAATATATCAGGAATTAAAATGTAAATTTCAGGAATAAAATTGTTTCAATCAGAAATTAAATTGAAACAATTTTAATAATCTAATTTCAGTAACAAAAAATAGTCAAAATATTGTTCGAATCAGAAATTAGATTATAATAGTCAGGAATAAAGTTATATTAGTCAAGAAAATAGATAATAAATTACTCAGGACATAAATGATATGGTCAGGTTTAAGATAAATATAGTCAGGAAATTAGAATTTAATAACTCATGACCTTCCCTCTTCCCTTTTCAAAAAACACGTAAAATCATTTACCAGACATAAAATTAATTGAATAAAATGAAATGAATTTACTAGAAAAGAGGTTAATTATAAATGAAAAGACATATTTGAAAAGGCATGACCCTCCCTATTCCAAAACACTGCATCTATTCACATTCTAAACATTATATATAAGTAACCATATTGTCAACAAACTGTATTCAGAAAAAGAAAAAAAAATCCATATAAAATGCTTCAGTTAGAAATTTTAATTAATCTTATAAGAATATAACTACTGCTATTACAAAAGGTATATTTTTTTTCGTATTATGATTATACCTTTGTTAGTGTTGTTTTATTGAGTTTTGTTATGATTTATGTTTTCATTTTGTTTTGTTTAGATGGCTAATCAAATCCCACACCCAATTGACGCCTTAGAAGATGCACATCCAGCAATGGCTGTTGAAGAAATATTATGCATGCATAGTTTTCCTAGGTGCACATTCAAAGCCCAGGCGATGATTAACTGTACATGTAAATATTATAATGAATTATGGTATTATAAATATTGGATTCCAGAAACAGTAAGAAGAAATCATAATTCAAATGAATGGTGGGTTGCATATGACATTATGAGGCATAAGGGTTATGGGTTTCATAATGGCATGGTGCAAGACTGGGCTGAATTTCTGAATGGATTACGTTTAGTTTTTGCTGATGAAGAAGCCATCAAATTAAAGAGAAAAAGAGAAGAAGCAAATCATCCATGCAAAGAGGCAAAAAGAATTTAAATTGAGGAAGATTATCTTTGTAGCTTATTTTCAATGTTTTGTACTTTATCATAATTAAATAACATTTCAGTAATATGTAATTTGGAAATTTAGTTTATGTATTTTATTTTTGAAAATTTAGTTGATGTTATTTTATTTTTGGAAATTTGGTTGATGTTATTTTTTTTTTGGAAATTTGGTTGATGTTATTTTATTTTTTGTTTTAGTTGATGATATCAGTAGCTTATACTCAGGAATTAGCATATCTTAAACAGGAATTAGATTTTTTAGATCAGGTATTATGATATATTATTCAGAAATAAAATTTACTCAGTCAGGTTTAAGATAAAATTAGTCAGGAAACAGATGATAATAGTCAGGAGTTGTAATACCAATATAATTTGCAGTAATTAAATGTTTTGAAATTTATTATACCCAGGAATTACATTATGTTACTCAGGAATTAGATAGTTCTTGTCAGAAAATAGATATGGATAGTCAGTTTAAAAATAATAATATTTAGATACATTATAACTCGTCAGGTTTAAGATAATATTAGTCAGAAAATAGATAATAATATTCAGGAATAATAATATCAATATTTAGATAGAGTAATTAAATGTTTTAAGATTTATAACACTCAGGAAATAGCATATATTAGTCAGGAATTAGACAATTATTGTTAGAAAACAGATATGGATAGTCAGTTTTAGGATAATAATATTCACATGTATTATAACTTAGTCAGGTTTAAGATAATATTAGTCAGAAAATAGATAATAATAGTCAGGAATTGTAATATTAATATTAACTACAATAATTATATGTTTTAAAATTTATAATACTCAGGAATTATCATATATTAGTCAGGAATAAAATAGTGCTGGTCAGAAAATAGATATTGATAGTCAGTTTTAGGTTAATAATATTCAGATATATGATAGTCAGGTTTAAAATAAAATTAGTCAGGAAATAAATTATCATAGTCAGGAATTGAAAAGAAAAGAAATAAAATTATTTAGGAAATAAATAATGATCGTCAGGTTTTAAATAATGATAGTTAGTTTTAAAATAATTATAGTCAAATTTAAAATAATAATAGTTAGGCAGGGATACTAGATTTTTAAATGCAGTTAGAAATATTTTGAAATTTTCAGGAATTAGATTATTTTACTAATTTTGTTTAGGAAATAGGTTCTATTAATCAGGAATTATATTATCTGCAATTACATCAATAAATTACAGAGTATACTTTTACAGAACATTTAATTATCTGTATACCTATTATACTTGCAGCATCTTCATCTCTTTCTGCATCATCTCTTTCTTCATTTATATTTTCTTCTAGAATAACATTATCTGCTGCATTCATCATTAGTGTTAGTATATTTGAATTTCACTCTGAAATTATCAAAAAAATGGATTCAAATGAAAATTAATTTTCTGCGACAATTGTAGTTACATATTAAAATAGCTTTGCATGCAAATCATAAGTTGAAATTAAACTCTATAGAATACTATAGTAAACTTGATTTCAAAATGAATAGTTGAAATAAAATGTAATTGAAAATAAATTAGGCCTGATTTCAAATTATAAGTCGAAATTAACTACGATTTGAAATTCGATTGGCATTAATTGCAAATAATAAGTAGAAATTAACTCGAATTTAAATACGATCTGATATTAAATTAAAATTTAATACGATCTGAAATTCAATTTGTCTTGCATGCGAATTATAAGTCGAAATTCATATTTCAAAATCGGTATAATACAATCTGAAATCATGCGAATTATAAATCGAAATCAATATTATATGAAATTTGAAATTACATGCAATCAAAATTATGAATTAGATAGTACCTTTTTCAGCAGTAATTGAGCTGGAAATTGATTCTATAGGTGAATCAGAATCTCCTTCAATCATCATCCTATTGTTTGATTTCTCCATGTTTTTATGGAATTTGCAGATTTGAATTATATGAATTTTGCAGATTTGAATTTTATGAAATTTGGGGAAATGAAGTGGTTGAATTTCAGTGAATGACGACGCTCGAAATTTTATGAAAATGATTAAAATGATGAAAACGACAAAGTTCAGACAATTTATAAAATGGCGCGCGGGCTTTGGTCGGGTTGGTCAGGCCCGCGCCTTTTTAATTAATGAGCCCGGACTCACGTGAGTCCAGTCTCACGCAAAACGTTTACTTTGCCAATTACTACCGCAAGTTAATACCACTTTGTAAATTACTACCGCAAATTAAAAAAGTTGTGAATTACTACCGCAAAAAATTTTAAGATGTTGCGATTACTACCAAACACCCATTAAACCCAATTATGACGTCATTATATCCCTTTAACCCGTGTTTGACCATGGTTAAGGGCTTTAACCAGCCCCCCCCCCCCCCCCCCCCAAAAAAAAAAAAGAAAATGGTTTAGGGATATAATGACGTCATGGTTAAGGGCTTTAACCATGGGTTAAAGTGATATAATGACGTCATAGTTGGGTTTAATGGGGGTTTGGTAGTAATCGCAACATCTTAAATTTTTTTTGCGGTAGTTATTCACAATTTTTTTAATTTGCGGTAGTAATTTACAAAGTAGTATTAACTTGCAGTAGTAATTGGCAAATTTTCCTTAATTTTTCTTCTTAACATATTTTACGAGACATTTTAGTAGTATAACTCATGATATCCCTTTCATATGTGATTAAATCATTAATATTATTATTATTGTTTTTATGTAGTATATGTTTATTGTATGCTATTTAATCTTGTATTGTTATTTTGTATAGTGAAAA